ATAGAAAACAATATGAAACTCTATTATCCAGTAACTGTCCAGAAGAAACAAAACCTGCCAAGCAAATTGAAATAACCACAGAGGAGTCTTTATCACAAAAAGCAATGATTTCAAGAAACAGACAGATACAAAGAGGTATAAAATTGCAAAGCATTGTAAAATTTAGTCACCCTCAATATCCTTATGTTACAGATATGAAATACAACAACTGACCAAAAACTAGCATCCACTCAACTACAGTCGGCAGACTTGAGATAAAATCCTTAAATTGCCTCTTTAAGTACACTTCCAAGAACTTACTATATTTAGAATAGAAATGAAGCAGCCAATAGAGACGAACTTTTAGAAAACTACATCATAGACAAAAAATAAATATCCTCTAATGTTAAAAAAGAGAATGAGAGAGAACCTTTTTTTAGAAGGGTCAAATATATTCAATGACATAAACTGACAGTTTATTTTTAGAAAGAGATGAAGTCTGCTATTATTTGTCAAACCAGCAAATCCTTCTAAAGAGGACTTCCAATTATGATTCAATTCCTTATGTACTGAAATGCACATAAAAATATATAATATCTTCAGTTAGAGCATATATTTGTGTAAGAAGGAAAAAAAGAACATCTTCAATAGAAATTAAATGAGGGTGAAATATACAACATATATTTTCAACTTCCCAACTCTTCAGGCTTAGGCCACAGTTTGACAGCTGTCAAAAAAAAATTTTTTTTTTTTTGAGATAGATTCTTGCTTTGTCACCCAGGCTGGAGTGCAATGGTGTGATCTTGGCTCACTGCAACCTCCCCAGATTTAAGCAATTCTCCTGCCTCAGCCTCCCAATTAGCTGGGATTATAGGTGCTCACCACCATGTCTGGCTAATTTTTGTATTTTTAGTGGAAATGGTGGGTTTCACCATGTTGGCCAAGATGGTCTCGAACCCCTGACCTCAGGTGATTCACCCGCCTTGGGCTCCCAAAATGCTGGGATTACAGGCATAAGCCACTGCACACAGCCAGCTGTCAAAATTTTAAAATAAATTTCTATATGGTTTGGCTAGGCATGGTGGCTTACTGAGGTCAGGAGTTCAAGACCAGCCTAGCCAACATTGTGAAACTAAAAACACAACAATTAGCTGGGTGTGGTGGTATATGCCTGTAATCCCAGCTACTTGGGAGGCTGAGGCAGGAGGATCACTCGAACCCAGGAGGCAGAGGTTACACTGAAATGAGATTGTGCCACTGCACTCCAGCCTGGGTGACAGAACAAGACTCTATCCCCAAAGTATATTTTTTTCTTTATAGTTTGGTATAGTTCAGGAAGTTTTCAGAGAGACAGGCAACCTGGTGAAACGAGAGACTGGCCTACCTCATGAAATCTGCTTACCCATCAAAGATAGCAAAGGGAGTGGTAAGGAATGAGGGCTGACCAAATCAAGTCCCTCACCACATTCAGAAGGCTGTGAAGCAGACATCATTGTGCCTTTGAAATATAAATAAATATACCTGCCACTACCAAATACCTTTTCTTGGAGAGGGCACAGGAGAGAACAAGGTAAGAAGACCAATCTATGTTTCTCTGAATCTGTTTCGTCTTTGTTCTGGTGGGGAAACAACACTTTGGAAAGCTCAAGAACCTCACACTGCTTGAGTTTTCCTTATCCCCACAGCTTTTCAACAGCCCAATAGGCTGTGAACCCCCTGAAAGCACAGACTCTTTTATGAAGCTCACAGTCCTCAAAGGTTTGTATACAGGACATGCTTAGTAAGTGTACATTTATTAATTCATGTGTTACAATTTTAAATAAAATGGAATTACTCATCTATTATACCTAACTACTAAAGTAAAACAGGCATATAGCTGGTGAACAGAGTACAAATCCAGAAGCAGCTCTCTGTCCCATGAAGTGCAAGTCTGCATACATAATCTCCTATTTCCAGGTTTCTGTGTTTATTCTGGTATTTGTTTGTTGTTTCACAGGCTCAAAAACAGAGACAGTACATAGGGTGGTGGAGAGAGCACTAGTCTAGAAGTGGGAAACCTGATCTTAGGCAATTGCTATCTCCCTGGACCTCAGCTTCCTCACCTGCATAATGAGGGTGGTCAGCTAAATGACTTCCAAGGTCTACAAGGTCCTTTTATGCCCCCTCATGGACTGGTTAAATGCCAGACAGGTATTACTGGAAAAATTAAGGACAGATCAATGAGTTGGTGGGCGGGAAGTGGTGGAAGAACTAGGGATTGACTCAGCTATGAATTTGACACCTGCTTAGGGTGACTTAGGTGACTTCAAGGAAGAAGACAGCTCAGGTCAGGCCTTGAAAGACAGTGGGACTCGTCTAGTCCCAGACCAGATTTGGTAAGGTCATACAGGGAAGAAACAAACTGGGAGCAAGAGGAGCCCATATATGGCAAGTGTCAAGTATCACAGAAAAGGACAAGGAAGCGGAGTGTGGATTGATCATGGGGTGGGTGCTGCACTGGATGCTTTATGTTCACCATTCCATTTAATCCTTACAGTCCCATAAGGGAAACACTATGGTTCACTTTTAATACCTGAGGAAATTATGGAATCCTATAACCAAGGAAGCCTGTCACATGGTGGCAGGCAGCTGAAGCACAGCTGGCCTGAGATCCATCTGCCTCCACAGCCATGCTCTAACCCCTGCACCACACTGCCCTTTCAGAAGCACTGGGGAGCAGCAGAGGGGTCTGGGCCAGTTCTGCTCCATCCTTACTAAAGTAAGAGGACTGAAATATAAAAATATAAAAATGCCACTTGATGCTCATTCCATACACAAGAGACTTTTTTTTTTTAATGGATCAGAGGTTCACGCACTGCCCAGGACAGCCTCAAATGCCTGACCTCGCGTCCTCATGCGCCAAGACAACTGGCCTGAGCCACCCCACCTCCCCACAGGAGACTTTTTAATGCAACAGTAACTCTATAATACCTCTCTTCCAAAAAAACGTCCCTAGTTAGACCCTCAGTTTTATTAAGCTCATGAAAATCATCATCGATTGTATGTTTGCTTTGCACCAAACACCACATAAACACTATTAATGCCTTTATTTCATTAAATCCTCACATAAATCCTAAAAAGTAGGTATTATCATTACCCTGTTTTTTACAAACAAGAAAACTGAGGCTTCAAGAGGTTAAATAAGTCACCCTAAGCAGGTGTCAAGTTCATAGCTGAGTCAATCCCTAGTAACTGGTTATAAACATCTATTACCACATTTCACACACTAGGTAGAGAAAATGATAAAGGATGTGGCCAGGTGCTGTGCTCACGCCTGTAATCCCAGCACTTTGGGAGGCCAAGGCAGGTGGATTACCTGAGGTCTGGAGTTCAAGACCAGCCTGACCAATATGGTGAAACATTGTCTCTACTAAAAATACAAAAAATCAGCTGGATATAGTGGCGGGCGCCTGTAATCCCAGCTACTTGGGAGGCTGAGGCAGGAGAATCGCTTGAACCCAGGAGGTAGAGGTTGCAATGAGCCAAGATCATGCCATTGCACTGCAGCCTAGGCAACAAGAGCAAAACTCCATCTCAGAAAAAAGAAAGGATGCACAAAGTTCTCACTAATAAAAGGAATAAGATGGCAGAAGAAAAGGCAACGCAGTAGAGCACAAAGAAGAAATCCTGATACTATGAGGAACCACTCACCTCCAGACCTGCTCCTCTTCAGTAGAAGAGGGGGTTAAGTGGGAAAAGTCTCTAAGGCTCTAGGAAGGCTGTAGTCGTAGGAGTCTATGAATAATCACTGACTTCCTCTTAATCAGAGCCAAATGTTCCCACATTGAGTTTTGTGGTCTCTGAGCCAGTTACAGTGTCTAGTATAAAGTAGACACTAAAGAAATAAAATGTTCTATGTTTTTCATCTAAGTAAACTTCAGGCTAAGAGAAGCAACCTTGCAATATACGGAGTAGGTTAATCATGAAACCCTAAGCAATCAGTTCATTAACATGTCAAAAGACTTTCTTCATCCCTGTTTTTTTCTCAATATAATAGAATATCAATCAGTATCCTAGGGACTGTGTTACAGCATTGTTGCCATGAGAATACTGGAAATGACCCACAAATTTAGGAAAGAGTAACAAGTGGTACCAGCCCCCAAAAGTTGTTAATTATAGTCACATTGTATAGGAGATATTTTATTCTGTGGCAGGTACAGTGTGATTCAGACAACAGCCTCTATAATCAGAACACAGCCTGACTCCCCATAAATTGGTGTGTGACCTCTATGTGCTTTCTCTTCCGTAAACTGGGAGGGTGCTTCATCAGCACTGTGTTGTGCTGAGGATTAAATTAATCTAAGAAAAGCACTCAACACTATGCCTAGCACATAGTAGGTACTCAACGAATATTAGCTATTAAGGGCTAATATTAATAATACTAGTCTTACAAATGCACCTGAAAATCAATGAAATTGGAAGTGACAGAGCCATTTAGAACAACAAACCAACCCAACTCAATAGGCAATACTATTTGTTGAGAGAGCATTCTGCAAAACACTAGTGATGATGCTTAGAAAATGAAAAGTAACATTTGAGCAAAGACTATAGATTTCACCTACCTTAACACCTTTTCTCAATAATAAAACCTATCTTTGGCCAGGAGCAGTGGCCTATACCTGTAATCCTAGCACTTTGGGAGGCTGAGGTGGGCAGACTGCCTGAGCTCAGGAGTTTGAGGCCAGCCTGAGCAATATGGAAATATCCTGTCTCTACTAAAATACTAAAAATTAGCTGGGTGTGATGGTGCTCACCTGTAATCCCACCTACTCAGGAGGCTGAAGCAAGAGAATTGTTTGAACCCAGGAGGCGGAGACTGCAGTGAGCTGAGTTCACACCACTGCACTCCAGTCTAGGTGACAGAGCAAGATTCTGTCTCAAAAAACAAAAACAAAAACCTATTTTCATTATGAATGTTTTGAATTATACAAGATCTTCACAAAATGTAAATGTTCTGATGAGATTCATCCACCAATGCAGTCTAAGAAGCCAATTCTCCCAGGAGAGCTGATGAGCCTCAGACTCAGACTCTTACCATTCAAGCACCTACTATGCAACTCAGTACTTTAGTAGTTTTAGTTTGAAATGAAGAAAAGAAACAACCATTAGTTTGAAATGAAGAAAAGAAAAAATAAAAAACAGATCCAGACAAGCATTTTTAAAAAAGAATTAGAAACAAATGGAAAGTAACAACCCATTAGTTTGAAATGAAGAAAAGAAAAAATGAAAAACAGATCCAGATAAGTATTTTTTAAAAAGAATTAGAAACGAATGGAAAGTATCAGAGTACAATATAGGAAATAATGGTTAGACTTTCTTTGAGAAACTTGTATATGCACTGACTAGGTAGCAACATAAAATATATTTCTTATAATGGCTATAGCTGAAAATATCTGGGGAAAACATGATCTATTAAAAATGGACACGGAAACCAAGTTTTTCAGCAAATTGTTCAAGCTTTTACATTTAATGCACTGGAAAACCTTAACAAGAGATTTGATGTATAGCATTTTTGTCCCATAAATTCAAACAAATAAATTCAGAATGATTGCTCTCTCCCTCCTTGGACATGAAGCAGAATTACAGATAACTCCAACCAACACTAGGAAGAACAGAGTAAACATTGTGTAAGTCTCTTGCCTCATTTACCTGTGTTTGGATAAGAAAACCCATATACTTTTAGGACAACAATTCTTTAAGTTCCCATGCTCTATGCACATCACCCCTAGAGAACATGAGTGCACCTTTTTTCAGTATGCAGAAGAAAATGGAAATGGAAAAAAGGTTTTTGTTTAATCCAAATAATTTGATGAACACTCTTGTGCATTATGGATAAAAAAGACCTTCTCTATCCTCAAGATGCATATAATTTACTAAGTGATACATTATGGCAAGACACATGCCCCAAAATCCAAGCAGGCTGTGCTTAAGGTGAGGAAGAGGGAGGGGCATGAGTAGGAGGGATAAAGAAATGAAAATTTAAGAAAAAGAAAGTAAGTGGCCAGGCACGGTGGCTCACGCCTGTAATCTCAGCACTTTGGGAGGCCAAGGCAGGCGGATCACCTGAGGTCAGGAGTAAGAGTCCAGCCTGGCCAACATGGTGAAACCCCATCTCAACTAAAAATATAAAAATTAACTGGGTGTGGTGGCACATGCCTGTAATCCCAGCTACACTGAAGGCTGAGGCATGATAACTGATGGCACCTGGGAGGTGGAGGTTACAGTGAGCTGAGATCACGCCACTGCACTCCAGCCTGGGCAATAGAGCAAGGCACTGTCAAGAAAGAAAGTGAGAGAGAGAAAGAGAGAGAAGATAGATTAGCCTTTTAGTATGACTTAGTACAATTTGGGAGAGATGGGATGAGGAGTGGAAAGTGGCGTCATTTTGAAACACAGAGTAGAAAGAAAAAGGGATGAGAACACAAAAATGGATAGGTAGCCAGTCAACACATGCAAGAAATGGTGGAAGCTGAGATGATAGTTATACAGCTGCAATCAGGGACTGTGTGTTTTGACAGGTAACAAAAGAATGATTTTTTTTTATCACAGGAACAAGCAGAAACTAATGAAAGGAATGATTTTTTGTCAGAGAAATGAGCAGAAACCAAGAATATGAACACAGCTTGTTTTCTTACTGTTACATTTATGGCTCCCCTGGAGAACACCCTGAATGTGGGTCCCTGCACCTGTCTCCCATTCATTAGACACACAGGGATACTCACCAGAAAAAAAATTCCTCTTTAGACCCAAGATCACTGTGATAACTTGGTTTTAAAATTTCTGCCAAGCTTCAGTTAGAACTCTGAAATGCATAGCCTCAGGACACTTCTGGCTCCTCTCCCATTGCTCTCTAGTTAAAGCCAAAGAAAAGTGTAACTTCCGCTGGGCTTCCACAGGTTCTTCTAAGCAACCATTCCACGAAGGAATGAAGGCTGACTCCCCTTGGGGAAGAACAGCGTAAACGCTCCAACTCAATAACCCCAGAGATTCAGCAAGTGTTCCAGTTCCCTACTGCTGCACAGCAAGCTACTCCAAAGCTCAGTGGCTTAAAACAACCACCATTTTCATCTCATGATTTGAGAGTCAAGAATTTGGGAAGGGCTCAGCTGGGTGATTCTTGTGCTCCACAGGGTACTGAGTGAAGTCACTCAGTGGTATTCAGCTGGCAGGCGGGCTGATTATGCCTGCTGCCTTGATGGAAATGAAGGAAAGGCTGGACACAGCTAGGAATACTCACCAGAAATGTCTGCCCATGTCCTCTCAGATATGGTGGTCTCAGGGTAGTTCAACTTCTACATGGCAGCTCAGGTTCCAAAAGGCAGGTGGAAGCTGCCCATCCTCTCAAAGGCTAAGCCTAGAACCGCCATATCGTCACGTATACTATCCATATCGGTTAAAGCAGTCGCAGCCCAGTCCACACTCAAAGGAGGAGTGTCAAAGCATTTGTGGTCATCTTTAATCCATCATAAAGATGACCACAAATGCTTTGACACTCAATGAAAATCAGAGTTGCATCCTAGACAGCCATGATTTACTAACTACTGAATATTGAAAATTAAACACCTCAGACAAAAAAATAATAATAATTTGAAAAGAGAACAGGAAAGTTAATTCTCAGAGTAACTGAAACATCTAAAGGCCTTAAATGTATCCATGTCTTTTAATTCAATAATTTTATCTTTGTTTTTTTGAGATGAAGTTTCGCTCTCGTTGCCCAGGCTGGACTGCAATGGTACAATCTTGGCTCACTGCAACCTGCGCCTCCCAGGTTCAAGCAATTCTCCTGCCTCAGCCTCCCAGGTAGCTAAGATTACAGGCATGCACCATCAGGCCCAGCTAATTTTGTATTTTTAGTAGAGATGGGGTTTTACCATGTTAGTCAGGCTGGTCTCGAACTCCTGACCTCATGTGATCCACCACCTCGGCCTCCCGAAGTGCTGGGATTACAGGTGTGAACCACTGAGCCTGGCCCAGTGATTCTATCTTTAAGAATCTAAGAAAACAACCAGAAAGGTAGATAAAATGAGGTAAATATATCAAAGAACTATTACAACAGTCACAATGTAGAAGTAATTTCTAATAAGAGATAGCGTTAAATATTGAGACAAAAGTATCTTTCAAAAAGTGACTAAACAACATAATAAAGCTCACATGGAGAGTAAACAGGTAATAAAAATCTACACAGTGTAACCAACAGCAACTCTGAAATCTGATTGATAAAGGTCAACTGGCAGATAACATCTAGTGGGAAATACATCTTTAGCACATAAGATTCCAAGTGTATTATGCAAGGAGACTGAATTTGAAAAAAATAATGCACAGAAACACATGTGAAATGCTATCTACGACAGATATGATTTACTATTGATACTGCCTAAACTGTTCCTATTATGCCCAGGTTAAAAAATAAAGAACACAGGCTAGGCATGATGGCTCACACCTGTAATCCCAGCACTTTGGGAGGCGAGGTGGACGGATCACCTGAGGTCAGGAGTTCAAGACCAGTTTGACCAACATGGAGAAACCCCATCTCTACTAAAAATACAAAATTAGCCAGGCATGGTGGCACCTGCCTGTAATCTCAGCTACTCAGGAGGCTGAGGCAGGAGAATCGCTTGAACCCAGGAGGTGGAGGTTGCAGTGAGCCAAGATCCCATCATTGCACCCCAGCCTGGGCAACAAGAGCAAAACTCTGTCTTAGAAAAAAAGAGTAAATATATAAATAGACAAATACATAAATGAACACAATTGACACAAAGGAAGAAATCCACAATGATTTTTTTTTGTTGTTTCATTCTAATTTGGTGAGAATGGGAGACTATGGTATTTAAGGAGATAAGAAAACAGACACTTTTGGCTTGGCGGCCTGCCTCACGCCTGTAGTTCCAGCACTTTGGGAGGGCAAGGTGGGTGAATTCCTTGAGGTCAAGAGTTTGAGACTAGACTGACCAATATGGTGAAACCCTGTTTCTATTAAACATACAAAAAATTAGCCGGGTGTGGTGGTGTGCACATGTAATCCCAGCTACTCAGGAGGCTGAGGGAGGAGAATCACTTGAACCCGGGAGGTGAAGGTTGCAGTGAGCCAGGATTGCGCCATTGCATTCCAGCCTGCGTGACAGAGTGAGACTCCATCTCAAAAATGAATAAAATAAAATAGAACAAAACAAAACAGACATTTTTGTTTCTCTCACAGAGAAATACAAACAAAACAGACAAAATTAATTGAATTCCAGGCCAGGCACAGTGGCTCACACCTATAATCCCAGCACTTTGTGAGGCCGAGGTGGGCAGATCACTTGAGGTCAGGAGTTTGAGACCAGCCTGGCTAACATGGTGAAACCCTGTCACTACTAAAATTACAAAAGTTAGCCAGGCATGTAATTAGCCTGTTAATTACAAAAATTAGCAGGTGATTCTCCTGCCTCCACCTCCCCTGTAGCCAGGATTACACACCTGGGCATAAAAGGAAAGGTTTGGGCAGTATCAATTATAATCCCAGCTACAGGGGAGGCTGAGGCAAGAGAATCATTTGAACCCAGAAGGCAGAGGTTGCAATGAGCTGAGATCACACCACTGCACTTCAGCCTGGGCGACACAGCCAGACTCCATCTTAAAAAAAAAAAAAAAATTGAATTCCAAATTGGAGAAAATAATTACAAAAAAATAAATCAAGGATATGGTACTGACACAACCTTTTTAGATAAATTTTAAAAATTAGATTTATTTTACCATAATTAAACAATTTTTTAAAAATACTTCTGCCACAACTTATTCTAACACTACAATCAGACCAGTAGCAAAGCCTTTCCATTTCTATATATCTTCTCTACATCTGAGGATGCTATAGATAGCATTTTATCAAGAAAAATATTAAGATTATATTGCTGAGACCCATTCAAAGAGCAGTGGTATACAACAAATATGAAGATTTAGTAAGCAAACCTGGAGAATTTGCTCCAAATATAGTTTCCTCTATAAGGGTGGGAAAGTAGACTAAAAATGTCAGCAAACATTTCTGGAGTATACATTAGATGCAAAGAACTATGTTAGTAATGGAGATATTAAGAAATGTAAGCTGTAGTCCCTGCCTTCATGTCTCCAGTTGGTGAGACAATATATACACCAAAATGTTAATACCAGGGAACAAGTTGGCTAGAATCTGAATTGGGAAAGCCATAGCTGGTATTTTAGAGATGGCTTTGGCTTCCTGTGTA